GCAAATCTCCACCATCTGCCACCAGTTTTGTAAGCCGTGGATTTCACTTGCTTCTTGGCTTCTAAGCAGTGCTCAGATATGAGGATTTTAGGATCTAAGTTAAGGTTGGCCATCATTCATCTAAAAATTCAAAATGCTGCTTGGGGCCACACACGGAATTCCACCTTGTGAAACTTGGTTTCGTGCTCAGAACTATTTAAAAACATGGTGTCCAGTCACCTCCGGGTGGTGGTTAAGGTGGAAATGCAGAAACACGCATGGGTCTCAGGTACAGAGCGGGGTCCTGGAGAGCTGGTTATGGTCACATCAGAAGCACTTCTGGAGAACTGAGTGCTTTCAGACACTAGAAATGAGAAGCGCTTCTGACCCTGGGCGTTTTGGACAATAGATACCCGCCCTATAATACTCACTGGCGACCGTGGTAGTGATGGCTGAGGCCATGGTACTGGGCTGTAAGGATGTGAGAATTATGTTAAAATATGGATGAAGGTGCCTGGTGGAGGGACAGGCCTCACATGTGGGAAATCCACCGAGTAAGTAGAGTGTTCGCAGCCGCCTGGGACCTTGGCTCGTGCTCCTGTCCTTGCAGAGTCCTCTTCTGGGCACGAGGCCGGCCAGCTCGCAGCACCCAGGGGCTGGCTTCCTCGGCTAGGTGCCCTCACCCCAGGAAACATCTGGGTGCTGTGAGTCCCGGGGGACTGCTGCTGTGCCCCTGGGGTGCAGACAGTGCAGAGGTGGCTGTGGGGTGGCAAGGGGCCGTGTCCGAGAGCAGGTTGGAGAGTCGGGTGCACTGGGGTGGGGGGCCCTGCCTGGCCATGTGCATAAGACCCTATCTGTGGCTTCATGAGCCTCCGAATTTCCGTGCTGTCCCCATGCTGGCAGGGACAGCTGTGTGGGTGAGGGGAGAACTGTCTGCACTGCGGGTGGCAACCTGTTAGTGGGCGCGAAAATCAGTTTACTGGGTCACTGCAGCACTCATTTACGTAAGAACTTGAACTGAATACAAAGCGGTGGAGCACACCACAAGCAGGAAGGGTGAGTATCATGTTGCAAAAATTTGTTGCATAGTTACACATTATACAGTTAAATTGTGGATGCAAATTATAAAATGTCCCCAGTACATCATCCCCTAATGCCTCCAACCTGGGAATGTCATCTTAATTGAAAAAGGGGACCTTGCAGATGAGATTATGTTAAGGATGTTGATATGGGAGATTATCCGGGTTTATTAGAATGAGTCCTGAATGTCACCGAATTTATTTCAGAGAGAGAGAGAGAGAGACAGACAGACAGACACAGACAGAAAGACAGAGACAGACAGAGACAGACAGAGAGACAGAGACAGAGACAGAGACAGAGACAGAGACAGAGACAGAGCAAGAGCTAGGTTACAGATGACCTGCAGAGAAGGCCCAGACTAGGGTGGCGCAGCCCCAAGCTGAGAAATTCGGCAAATCACTGGTCCTCGCCCGCCCCTCAAGCAATCAGTGTCCCAGGATGGAATATGCAGAATTCAATTAGCTCGAGCCAATCAGGGCTTAGCTCTGGAGCTGGAGGGGGGCTGGCCCTGCCCAATCACATGACTTTGAGAGAGGGAGACAGGCAGGTGCTTTTTAGGGGTAGGTGTTTTGGTGGAGAAGGTGGGCAGCAACTGTCCTTCCCTAGCTCCCTGTGGGGGGGCCAAGACATCCCTGGCTGGATGCCCCCCAGCTCACAGGGGCCAGGCTGCTGGCTTCTGGCTTCTCTCACTGGCCTGGCACTGTCGTCCTGCACATCATCTGTGCCTCCCATCAGCCCTGCTGGGGGCCTCCTTGCACCTCTCCGTCCCATGGGGCTGCTCATGGTGCTGCTGTCTCTGACTGCAGGCAGGTGCAGCTGACTGCATGCTCGTAAGTCCACGTGGGGGCTCATGGCCAGCTGGCATGGGTGGCCTTCTCTTGGCATAGGTGTGCCAGGCGGGACCTGGACCCTGAGGCACCCTCTCTCCTGGCACTCAAAGACAGACCCACAGACAGAGCTCTGAAATGCAAAGCAGTCTTCCTGACATAGGCCATCCTCGAGCTCACAAAGATTCTGCACAGCCTCAGGCATCCAGCATCATCCTGGCCACTCTGCTACTAGTCATGGCCTTGTGATCTGAAGATGCCCATTGGCATGGCCCGGGGAACAGGTCGTCTGCTTGGCTGGGCTGCTGAGGGCCTCCCTTGGGAGCTGCCTGTCGTAAGTCCATGGTCGGTAGTGGGACATGTCTTACCCATTGGTGCAGGGCCTGGAGGGCTGGGAGTGTTGCCAAGTCCACAGTGACCAGGCAGGCTGTGCAGGCCAGGGAAGAAGCCTGGCTTCAGCATGCTGACTTGCACTGCAGGCTCATGGGCTGGCATATCTTGTACCCAGGAGTCTTGGGACATGATGTCTCCTCCCAGGTGTGGCCACCTGATGCTCTGAGAGGTAGGGAACATAGCAGTGACAGGCAGGTGTTGCTGGAAGACATTCCCTTCTGGCACCCAGAGAACCCAGCAGCAGCTGCACTTTCTTGTCACAGTAAAGCCCATGCTCTTGTCAGGGCATCTACTGCCCCAGTTTCTTTATTGGGAAGCCAGGGACATTGGGTGTCGCAGCATTGTGTGCTCCGTGGGCAGCTGCTGTTGCTGCCGTGGCTTCCACCTTGAGGTGGCATGGCTTCAGGACAAGTCAGCTGCAGAATCAGTGAGTGGAAAATCTTCTCCTGTACTTGACCTTAGCCGCAAGGCCGGGAAGCAAGTAGGGCGTTGACTTCTAAGCAGAAGGAACCGTGGCCGCTGTGCTGTGGTATCTGGGGAATATCTAGCTTGCTCTCTGAGCTTTGTAGGGGCCCACAGTTAGGAGTTCGCCTTGAGTCTCAGAGGAGACTCTGGACTCAGACTTTGAGCAGTGCTGGGACTGCGAGACTTTGGCGGGGGATGACCGTGTGTCCACGTTCATGTGGAGCCACTTTGTCGTGTTAGGAGGGTCGTGGCCTTGTTCCTGGCTCTCCTTGGGGGTGAAGCATGGCCACAGGTATGTTTGGGTGTCCAGGTGATAGGCAGGGATGCCTGTGATGGCTCATCTTGATCATCGACTTGATGGTTGAATGCGGCAAGAGGGGTGGGAGAGCCCACCCTGGGCACGGCCGGCGGGCCACGGCCGTGTGTCCTGGGTCTACCTCTGGTCTCTAGCCCTCCCTCGCAGCCTCTTTTCTGGCTGCTCACCTCCTGGCCTCCATGGAAGAAGCAGCTCTGCTCCACCACGCTCTTCTGCCTTCGAGCTGGCTATCCATGGACCGAAGCCTCTGAGACCATGAGCCAAATGAAGCCTTTTGTCTTCTAGGTTGTGTATGTCAGGTGTGTGTCCCGGCAACAGAGAGATGACTAACAGAGTCCAGTTCTTTGCCTGTAGCACAACATCTGTGCCCATTGTGCGTTCTGTGAACTCCGAGGAGGGCTACTGTACACCTTGGGGTTCCTGCTGCAGGAGCCGCCACTCAGCACCCTTGGGTGGGTGGAGGTGGGGTTTCTGCAGCAGGAGTAAGTCAGAGTGGGGAGTGCAGATGACATTCACTTGGCTGCCAGCGCCCCGGTCCTTTCCCCAGAGCTGTTGGATGAGGCAGTTTTGTTGGATAAGAAAGGCGAGTTGCACTCGGTGCTGCCCCGAAGCCTCTCACCATGGTCTGACCTGCACAGACCCGTGTCCCGGCAGCCAGGACGAGCGCTGCGGCTCTCGTGCTGCTCCTGGGGCCAGGCCAGCTCAGTGCTCACATGGCCAGTGGAGCCAGAGAGCACGTCAGTTTCCAGAGCCCTCACGCTGGAAGCAGCAGGAAGAACAGGGAGTCCCTCGGGCCTGTGACTGTCGGGCCTGCTGTGGCACCCGAGTGGATTGAGAGACGCCTGTGGATCGGCGAAGCGCAGTGTCTGGGGCCACGGGCATGTGGCCGTGGGTTCTTGTCTGTCCCTGCCCCTCCTCCTGGTGCTGGTTCCCTGCTGTCCTTCCTGGACCCCACGCACTGTGCATCCCTGCTCTCCCACACCCTCCCCATGATTTTCTTGTCGTGGAGCCAGCTGACCATGGACGCCGTCAGCCATATCACACCTTTCTTCCTTAATCTGTGAGTTCTGGGGATGGACAACAACAAAGCTGTTCAGTCTAGGGCCTTGGTAAGCCAGATGTGGGTAGGGCCCAGTCCTGCCTGTCTAGGAGCTTCCCATAGCTTATCTGAACTTTCTGGGCCCCAGTTCCCCCTCTGGCACCTTGATGCTGTCGGTTAAGTAGGTTCCCTCATCTGTGTCCATCTGGAGCCTCAGCATGTGCCCTTCTGTGGCACTTTGTTTTTTTTTTTTTTTAATTTTTTTTTAATTTTTTTATTATTATTATTATTATTATTTTTTTTTTGTGTGTGTGTGTGTGTGTGTGTGTGTGTGTGTGTGTGTGGCCAGCTCAGCCCACCAGGGGGCGGGCGGGCTGGCATGTGGTGCTGGGGGATTGAACTGCGGTCCCTGTGCTTTGCTGCGCTTGTTTTAAGTAGGTGCTTTAGACCACTGAGCCATCTCACCAGCCCCGGCACTTTGTATCTGTAATTAAGGTGGGGTGCCCATGAGGTTGTGGGGATCAGGGTGGACCCTAAGCCCACTGACACACAGAAGACAGCCCCTTGGAGATGGAGGCAGGGAGCCCCATGCCTCCGCCTTACATATAGGCCCCACAACTGAGAGAAAGAACATCTGCTCTTAGAGCTGCCCCGGCACATGGTACTGGCTGTAACTGTTAGCACACGGGGCACTGGGGGCTGTGAGCTTGCTCCAGCCACCCCTAGCATGTGGGGTCAGTAACTGTCCTCCAGGCCTCTTCAGTGTCCCCTTCCTGGACACCAGGAAACAGGTGCACGTCTGGGGTGGCAGCGTGTGGAGGCTATTTTGGTGTTCCGGGAAGGGCCTGGCCCTGCTTGCCTCGGACATGGGGGTGGCAGCTTCCACGTGACCTCTGGCATGTCACCGGGAAGTGTGCCCACCGAGGAGCTCTCTGCCCATGCAGCTGCCACCACAGCTCCCTGGTGCTGGGGCCTAGCCTTGGAGAGAGAGCACTGAGCCCTTGAGAAGAGCCACGCCATGGGGATGCCCGGAGGAGGGACAGGTAAAGCCCCAGGTGGCCCTGTGTTTGGTTTCTAGCTCGAAGCTGGTTTTGAGCCCATGGTCGAGTCTCGAGGGTCAGGCTATACTGAGATTGAAGGAGGGCGGCGCTTAGGGGGCTCCCATATGCAGACTCGGGACTTTCTTGCGGCCAGTTCTGTGGGTGAGCAGGGATATAGCAGATAAGCTGAGGCTCGTAGAAAGGAAGGGCCTGGGCCCATGTCCTATGGAGGCAAGTGTCAGGGCCACGACTGCATCAGGGCTAGGATCACTGGTCCCCCGCCTGTCTGTCCTTCCCCTCTCTCCTTGCTTCTTTCCAAGACAGCAGCTGTCAGCCAGGGGCTGGGTTGGAAGTGTCAGTGATGGGGTGGGGACCGCTGGCATCTGGTGGGGAAAGGTCAGGACGTTACTGGATGTGTAGAGTGTGTGGGATGGCCCCCCAGGGCACTGCCCAGGCCACCATTGCAGGTGGGCCAGGACCCTGGCTTTAAGGAATGTCATGAATTGTCCCTCCTCCAGAGTTGATGGGACAGGGTATGTCCAACTACACAGATACAAGCAACAAGCAAGCTGATGGGCTCATTTCCTACGTGATGACAGTGTGGCTGCTACTGAGGGTGATGAGAGGGTCTGGGGCACAGATAAAGTGGGACACAGGAGAAGAGGTGGGGCCTGGACCCCAGCAGCAGAAGGTGATGGATCAGGACCATAGGGTGGAATTCGGGAGCCCCAGGCTGCACCAGTCCTGCCTCCCACAGGCTTCCTGACCCACCCTCTGCGTGGGTGCCAGGCCCAGTGCCCAGGCTGGCCCCTCCTAGCATCCTCTTTCAGCCTGCGGGGTCCACCTAGGACCCAGGACCATCAGCACCCACACTCTACAGACCCTGGGTGGTTACTGAGGGCAGCTCTGGGCTAAGGCTGCACAAGGTCCTCTCAGCTGACCTTGCAGAGGCCCAAGGACCCCGTCTGCAGAGGGGCAGTGGCAGCTCCTCCCGCCAGGGGAGAGCCGCACTCGATCTGCGTCCCTCAGAGGGCACCACTGTGGCTGCCCACACTGGCCAGGCTCGGGCTGACCATGCACACTCCTGGCCACAGAGGATGAGGCGGCTCGGGGTGGGAAGCAACCCAGCCCAGCCCGGCAGATTCCCGGAGCTGAGAACAGGTGACAGTGTCCTTTCCTCGGTGGAATTTCCATGCCGGAGGCTGGCAGGTGTCCTGTGCTGCTGATACCTGGCACCCGCCCTGCCCTGTGAGCTGTCACCCACAGCCAGTGACAGCACAGAGGGTGAACAGTGAGCAGCAGCTGTGTGGACTGTGCTGGCATCTCACTGGCCGCACGGAACTGCGGGGAAAGCGCCGAGGTCCCCGGTGCACAGAGGCTGACACGGCGTCACATCTGGCCACAGGGGACAGCGCGGGGGATGCGAGTCTGCTGAGGGAAGGCTACTTATGCAAAATTAAATTAAGAGCTAAAGCTTGCACCCCAGGAGGAAGGGCACATGTTCGTTATCTCAGAATAGGCCAGTTTCGTAGAGTGACACCAAGGAGACAAGCCCAGAAGAAAAATTGCATTTTTCCAAAACTAAGAACACTTGCATGTGAAAGACATCACAAAGAGAAAAAACAACTCTCAGACTGGAAGAAAGTATTCGCGCATCATTAGCCAGACCGGGGAAATGCACAGCAAAACTCGGTGCTGGCGGGCGGCATGGTGCACACCTGTCATCCTGGCACTCCGGGAGACTGAGGCAGGAGGGTCACAAGTTCAAGTCCAGCCAGGACAACTTAACAAGACCCTGTCTCGAAATAAACACTTTCGAAGGCCTGGGGATGGAGTCAGTGCAAAGGCCCAGCTCACAAGCCTGCTGCGCGACTGGGATTGCTTGTGGACTGGACACACCAAGCCCAGCCTCTGCCCTCTCGAGCTGCTGGCAGTTGCCTGATACCCAGCTTTAATTAGACACTCAGGAAGTGCTTTCTCAGCGCCAGTCTGCCAGGGCCAGGGGCTCCAGAGAACACAAGAAGAGCCAGGAAGTAAAGGGGGCTGAGGCCCTGCTGGCCCCCCCCGCCAGCCACAGGCTGTGTGACTACTGAGGCCCGGGGCTGGCCTCACTGAGCCTCAGGCCCTTGGGCAGTGTGCTTCTGGTGCCTTTAGGAGAGGGTGGGACCCATGCGCCTGGTTTACCCACCTAAAACCTGGCCTTGCTGTTCTGCTCTGTGCTCACAGAACCACGGATCCACAGGGCCACTGCAGCCCAACAGCAGCCACACCTGCTTCCTGCCCCTCCCTGGTGGCAGTGCATTGCCCCAGACTGCTGGGCACCTGGGCCTCACCTTAGAGTGCCTGCCCCCCTGGGCAAACCCTCCCCAGGTGCCAACTGAGGAAAACTTGTGCCCCTCCTTCAGGGGAAGGTTTTGTGGGACAGAAGTCCACTGAGCCCCAAGATGTGGCTGAGGCTGTGGGTGCTGAGCCCACAGTCAGGGGTGTGTGCTGCCCCTTTGCTGACACTGCTGCCAGCTGGGCATGCCATCAGACGTCCTCTGAGTGGGCAGACTTCACCCCATCCTGGACCCCAGTGTCTGCCACAGAACCCCTGGTTTGTCCTTGGCATTGTTTCAGTAGCCTCAGCTGACCGGGCAGGTGGCGTCCTTTTGGGACAAGGACAGGAAGGGGAGCTCCAGACGCCTCCAGACCCCTCACGGGCATCTTGCTGAGCTCCAAGTCAAGGGCTCTCCTGGGCCATCTGTTCGCAGTGACGGGGCACAGTGGAGCGGCTGTGGCAGGGTAGGGCCTGGGCAGCAGTTGGGGCAGTGGAGGGGTGGCTCCCTACGTTGTACCCGTCTCAGCAGGGGCTGGGAGTTGCTTTGGGCCCTGGCAGGGCCTGCTTCAGTCCCAGCTATGTGGTCCATCCATCTGCAGCTTGGTGACCAGGACAGGGGCTTAGGGGCCCAGCGCAGGGCTCAGCATAGACAGGGCTCAGGAACAGAAAGGAGACCTTGTGGATGCTCCTGGAGGGCCTGTGCAGGCTGCTAGAGCCAGGGGTGCTTTTCCTGCTCTCATCAGCCTGAGGCAGCACAGAGGGGAGGAGACCAAGCCGTGTGGTGACACAGGACAGGCTCTGGGCAGGGCCGGACTGCAGCCTTTGCAGGTGGCCTGGACAGGTCCATGGCCATCTGGCTGGTATATGTATCCTCAGCCCAGATGCTCGCTGACTTCTGACCTTTCAGGGTGCCACCATGAGATCGGATGGCCTGGGTGCAGCAGGGCTGTGCCCTCCAGGGATGACATGCCATTCCTGCGGGGACACAGGTGGACAGGGCGGTGGGGGGTGGGGCACCAGCCGCTTGTGACTGGAAAGCTGGAAACCAGCACCGAGGTCCTCTGGAGCCGTGGCCACTGCTGCAGGGAGGGGGCTGCCGCGCCACACTCCCGCCTCTCCCCACCCCTGTGGCCCCTGCACCGGGTACGACACTGTGGCAGCTCGCAGATGGAAGGCAGAGAGGGGCAGGCAGGCAGGTCTGAGGGCCTGTGCCACCTCCGCCGCCCTCAGGGAAGGTGCGCGTGTAACCCGTCCTGGTGCTGGCGGCCGGAAGGCTGGATCCAGGGGTCGCAGGCTGGTTGCTTCTGCCCTGGGCCGCCTCCCCCTGCGCGCGCGGGTGGGATCTTGCTGTGTCTTTTCTGTGCGTCTTTCTCTGTGTCCAGATTTTCCCTTTAAAAATTAGTCAGTCCTCCTTCTGTGCATATTTATGGAGTGCAGAGTGCTAACCCCACATGTGACACTAGTGATCACATCAGATTGGGACGTGTGGCATGTTTCCATCCCTTTAAGCATTGATAGTTTTAATATAATAACTGTGCATATTTATAAAGTACAGTGTGGTATTTCAGCAGATGCATACCATTTCCCCCCTCCTTTTTTTTTTTCTTTTTTTGAGACAGGGTCTCACCATGGAGCCCAGGCTGGCCTGGAACTCTTCAGTGATCCTCCTGCCTCAGCCTCCCAAGTTCTGGGATTTCAGGAGTGTGCCACCACACCTGGGTCTACCATTGCCCTTTTTTTTCTTTGTATTTTAGGGAAGGGTCTACAGAGTGTTCAGGGTCTCACTACTAGATTGGACTCATAGTAATCTACCTATTTACAGCCTCCCAAGAGCTGGGATTACAGGTGTGTGCCACCATGCCCAGTCTCGACTGCTGTCTCAGCGTGGCCCAGGGGTGGAGCCAGCACAGCAGGATTGAATCCCTGGCCCCTGGCTCCTGTGCCTGCTTGCGGGTGCTTTAATCCACTGAGCTATTTGGCCGGCCCCATCGTTGCCCTTTTGATAAAGGTAGGGTCCCGTGGCTTTAGAACCACCCACTCTAATGGCTTTGTTTTACTTTAGCTGTGTCTCCAAAGACCCTATCTCCAAATACAACCCCATCCTGAGGTGTGGGATTTAGGGCCTCCCATGTGAATTTTAGGGGACACAATTCAACCTGCATCCGTGGCCTGTGTGTGGCCTCCTGGGGCCACGGTCTTCATGCTCCTGTCCCATCCTGAAGGGCTCAGGAGGAGCCATCTTCGCTGTCTTCTCTCTCAGGCTCTTAGGCTACCCAGATCCATCCCATCCTGCCTGGCCAGCAGTCCAGTGACCCTGACCTGAGGTGGGACCGGTGCTCCTGGCAACCCAAGGCTACACGGAGACACTTTAGACCAACCGCATGGGCCAGGAGTGTCCCCTGGGATCAGAGGTGAATAGGCTGTGTGGGGAGCCCCAGAGAGCCCCTAGGGCAGGGGCTCACCTCACAGGCTCTCCTGAGCTGTGGCCGCCTGTTAAGCTCCTGCCTGTGTGCCTGCCCTGGGTCTGTGCTTGCTGCTGGCCCCCTGATTCTCCCCAAGGTGGGCTGCCTGGGGAGGGTCTTGTGCTGAGCTCTGCGATGTCTTTGTGTAGCCCATTCACTCAGGGACATTTGCAGTAGCAAAGCTCTTGTGACTCCTCGCTTTCCCAGGTGACCCTGCACTT